ATTTTCTTATTATTAGTTTCGATGATTAACTCCGAAACCACATTGATAGAATATTGAATATACTATCACAGCTCAATGCTTTTCGTGAAAGCCTACAGCTGCTAGTTTGAGTTAAATGGAAAAATTGTGGATCAACATTATGGAAACATGTATATTCTTAGAAGGAGAAGCCAAGTCATTGCAAAGGAAGAGAAAATAGCAAAGTGCTGGTCGAGACGGATTTTCTAGTTAGTATTAGCTAATTGCATTTTGATTTAAATTTCAATTCATAGCCGTCGGAAGCTCCGTGCGCTGCCGCATCAACATTATAGTCGCAAAAACGACATTCGATCAGAAGGTGGGATTAAGGCGTGTTCTTTGAATATGATCAAATGTGATTCGTTCAATGCTTTTAAAGATATTTCTTTTGATAGCTTCTAGATATATACTGCGGTGCTTGTACACATAAATGTCCACTCATGAATTGTATGTGTGTGGTTTAACAAAATAATTGGCCTATATAGTTCTGTTCGCCCATCCAATAGCTGATAATATTTCTCTAGCGAGTTATTGACAAAGTACTTTACTATAACCGCATGATACGGGTTCTGTGCAATAACTGATGACAAGTAATATTACAATCACAAGCAATATGGACTAAGTAACAATTACTAATAAGAAAACACAGAAGATTGCAGTGAATAGAGACGCTAGTTACTGGACGTGCAATCTCATTCCTCAAAACAGGGGAAAAATTCCTGGATAACGATGCAGATAGATGAGTGTTCGAACGGACGTATCTGAAGCGTCCTTCTGGGCGTTGCAAACGTGTTGACAAAATGAATATACCTGTCATCGTTCGGTGATGGGTCTAAAACGGAAATTGGAAAAAAGAAAAAGGAAACGCTTACTTAAGGAAGCGGATACGTTTGCCTTGGGTTTTTTTTTACTTTTCGTACAAAATGCAATCTATGTACGGCTCTAACTGAAAGCTGAAACGCATCTAATACGCTTTCCTTTTGGCTGCGAACACTGTAACCGTACGCCGTGTTTATGAGCCGTGCACGTCATGTCATGTCATGAACATGAAATTGTCAGTGTGATGGAATGTTTCACTTCAAGTTTCAGATTCTCTTCTTAATATTTTGCACATATTGCCGGCAATCGCATAGGTTTCAAAGTGCACTTTTTCTCACTCTGAAAAACTTGACTCGGTTATGCTATACTCAGTGTACGGGCGTATGCGTGTACGTAGCCATTTTACGAAATCCATTAGCACAGCTATAGAACATACATATATTACAGGTTATATTGCGTTGAGTTATTTACGTTTACGAAACGTGTTACGCACTTAATGTTAAGGTATTTTGCAGTTGGTTTGCGAAGTCAAGCACGCGAAGTGTTTCAAAATATTCGATCTAAACTGGCGAACGATTTCGTTCTTCTGTTTGTGATGAAATTAATGACCTTTTTTAACTTGCCCAAAAAAAAAGCATACATATATATATATATATATATAAAAGCATACATATATATATTATAAAAACGTTTAAGCCTTTGTTTTAAAATTTGTCTTAAGGTCAATCTATAGAGAAAAACAGAGTAGAAAATGTCAACGATTTTTAAAAATCAATAATTATACATAATATAATATAATAATATAATAATGCATATAATAATAATCATTATAAGTATTTAATAATGAATTCATAATCTTCACACTTTAACTCTTTCGATTAATATACGTTATCTTTTGAATTTTATTTCGTAAATTTGCTTATCATTGTCTATAGTCTATATACATACGCACAAGACGTTGTAAATATTAAAGTTGAAGCTATAAACTTGACCTATAAAGGGAAACATAAAAGTCGTTATAATATATTAAAAATCAATTCATTATGAAATTTGATTTTAAAAGAGTGCTAAACACTATATAATTGCGGTGAGGGGGAAAAAGAATACAAAGATTTACCGACATGATTAACATGAAATAAATTTAATTTAATTGCAAAATAAATTTAACAACAACAACAAGCATCGTAACAGTTTTCTTTTTAAGGGCATTTACCTTTGTTGTAATATCTTAGTTTGTTGAAGCAGGACGCAAGATCGAATCGCCGAGGGTCTACACTACATAAAACTATGAATACACATTCGCTATCATCTGCCCGATAATTATTATGAACGAACTGCTTAAAGTTCATTCGACGAATGTAAACATTTCCTTGATATTCTTAGGTTTCTTATTCATTTCACTCGTTTATCTCTTGGGATCATGTCGGAAAACCTGCCCTTTGTTTTTTTTTTTTTTTTTTTTTTCTTTACAGAAACTACTTAAACGTATCGCTCATCGTCGTGAAGGCATCATCCACGCTTCAATAATATTTCCAAATATTATGATAATGATGAGCAAAAAACAGAGTGCCTTGCTATAACAACCGCGGCGGCTTTTACTCTTCCTAACGATTCCGTGTTAATAGAAATGATATGAAATTTTCAAGAGTGCATTTATACAGCAACGCTTTGCCATGAGAATTGAATCTTAAACAGCCTGCAGATACGATGTGATTTCGAACGAATAGATCGAGCAGGACGATGCGAAGCGAAAAATGATTTGCATTGAATGCGCCCTCTTTCGTTAATGAACAACATTGACGCCATCATTTAAGTCAGCGATTCCGATTTTAACATGGAACGCGACAATTGCGACAATCGACTATGACTAATTGTCCCGCAATTTCATACCAATGATTTTATGAATCGAGCCAAGCCGAACTGGAGAATTCGTAACGAGCGTTCAACTTGCCACACTGGTTAGAATATACGCCAATACATTGCAATCAAATATCTTAGCTAAGCAGAGGTCTCTCCAATCGCACCAGAAGTCCCCACTTGCGAGTCGGACGCGGAAAAATACTACTCTTTACTTTTCTTGCTCAACACCCTATAGCCCTTTGAGGCCGACAGCATGTCTGCTGCATGTGTAGCGAATATCCACTGACAGGCTAGTCATAGAGAAAGGAGAAAAAGAAACAAGAAAGGCAATCGACAAAGACAATTATCATAATTCATTGAAGATTTCCCTTCCTCTCACTATACCGTACGTCGTAAAATGATGCCAAATGTTATGAATAGTTTTTTTTAGTTTCCGCCTAACTATTAAGAACATTAGCATTTGAATTCATGTGTGTATTTTATTTATTTATTTTTTTTTTAAAGCGAGTTTCAACGTTTTCATATTCATCATTTGAAAATTTAGTGGTATACTAAATTCACTTTAGCGAATGTAACATTCGAAGAACTTGCAAGCAAGTTTGCATAACGCCTGCATTCTCATGTGAGCGTCTCCGTCATGTCTTGCTTGTTCTTCCTTGCGCTTCTTCCTTATGTTATGAATGGGAAGAGTTTATTTATTTCGGCGAGAAAGCCGAAACTCAGTACATGCATACTTGAATTAATTTCGAAGATCAAGTGCGACAATGCATGTCCAGTGTGTGAATGAAAGCTTAATAAATAAAAAATGAGAATTTTAATAATTTTTATGAAAAACTTATGATCTCTTACATCTATGCAGCATTAGACATTTAAGAAGAAAATCGCCCTTAATCAGTCTGCTGCTTACACGCTGACATGATTAATAATAACACTTTGATGATTCGCTTCAAGGACACCCTGGATTGTTATAAATACTTGAGTTACACAACTCGGAGAAGTGTTCTCTAACTCTGCGGTATTTCTTCTTGCACTCATCTTTTCTTCGTTTTTTTTTTTTTTTTGCTTTAGTTTCTGCTCAGCTTATTTTTATATCCACCACTGTATTATGGGTCCGTTTATTTTTTTCTAAAATATATGTAACATCCAATAGGAGACTTCAGAGTATACTACTACTACTGTACTGAACTTGATCAGCGTGAAATTCTGAGTTGATTTAGCCATGTCCGTCAGTCTGTATGTCTATGTATTGTTGGTACTCTCGTGGTCGCGACAATGAAGATATCGACTTCAAATTAGGTAGGATCATTAGAAGTTTCTACGCAGGTTGACATTGAAAATGCTTTAAATTGGCCAGAACAGAAGCGCGCAGAAGAAGGTAAACGGAACGCAACTCAATTTTTTCTAACAAAATATTTCGGATCTTTGGTCGTTACTTGGAAATTATTAAAGCTAGAAGGTTGAAACTTTCCAGATTTGCATTTTACCCTTTAGGTCCAAAAATGGAACCAATCGGTGTCCTTACAAAGTTACGAGTAATTGAATTTAATTTTTCCTTTTTTCACTTTTTTGAGGATTAATGCGTATTTATTATCATAAGGCAAAGAAGAGAAAACGTTTAAAAGTATTTGGTACACTCCTCAAATGCAAGATATGTTATCTGCCTACAAATGGGTTAATTTTAAAATGTATATGCTAAACACCGACATTACTTTTTTCCTAATAATACCAGCGATATGGGTATCAAATAAAAGAACTTGGAGAGTAGAATGCGAAAAACACAATGTTGGGTATGCGAGATTCGGCCCCTGCCGAGTATAACCTTCTTATCTATTCTTTCTGCAAAAAGGCTTACAGGTAAATTTTACAGGTATATATATATATATATATATATATATATATATAAATATGTACAATAAGTTATCGCTGACATAATTTATTGTGTTAGTTATGGAAGAAATTATTTTATTATTTACTTTACGGACGAATTTGTTATCAAAAATTTGTATTTTCTTCTTCACTGTTCAATGTTATGCGATTTTTTTACTTTTTGCTTATCGATTATTACTACCTGCGTTTCCAGCCGACATTATTACAAGATTTATCTTATTAATATTCTTTGTGTGTGACCTTGTAACTTCAACAAAGATCTTAGGAATATTCAAATATATCCAAATGAGTTCCCGATCAGTGTTTCGAAGATATAACGAAAACAAAAAGAAGTCGCTCCAACTTTATTAAGTAATTTTGCAGTCAACGTTGTCGTGTTTGTTGGTCAATCAAATACTATTTAAAATACTTTTGCTTGGTTAACGTTTCTCCCTTAGATAGATTTATGTTATAGATGACTAACTAACTATAAAAGTCGAAAACAAACTTATCAAAGTTATTAGTTAATCGAAAGCAAGCTATCTACAAGCATCTTCAAAAGGCTTAATATCGTTTACACTTCTCTTCGAATATAATTATCATTGAAATAGCATCGAAATGAAGGTAATATACGATCTGGATCTTAACGATGAATAAAAAGTTGATAAAGCTTTTCTTTTAGATTTGTTTGTGTTTTTTGGGAATTTTGGCTGCAGCTCAAGCCGGTTTCTTGGGTCTATTCAACGGTGGCGAAAATTATGGCGGTGGCTATAGCTCTAATTACCATTATGACGATCATCATCATCATGATCACGGTAATTATGAGGATGTAAAAATTGTTAAAGTTATCTCACACGACCACGATGAAGGCTACGGTCATGGTGGTTATGGCGGCGGTTATCATTCCGGCGGACATGGCGGAGACGTTAAATATGTTCAAGTTGTTCATGAAGATAGTCATGGATACGGTCATGGCGGCTACGAAGGCGGTTATGGTCATGGTGGCTATGAAGGCGGTTACGGTCATGGTGGCGGTGAAGTGAAAATTGTTAAAGTAATTAGCCATGGCGGCCATCACGAAGGCAGCTACGGTCATGGTCACGGTTGGTAATAAGACTTTCACATGTTTTTTTAAGCTTACAACATAGCTTACACCTTTAATTTATTCGACTTACTTTCGCATCATCGATTTTTATTTTTTTGTTTTTCTCTAATTCCCCCGCACGGTTCTTCCCTCTTACTATCCTCCTTTCTGTTATATAGTTTTCATTACGTATTTTAAGTCCAACATTTATGTTGTAAATGTAGTAAAATATTTTTATGATTAGTTGTTTTAATCGTTTACCAAATATATATGAAAAAACATTTCAAAGAAACAAGTAGATAGATAATCTTTGTATTTAAATCAAGTGTTTTGAGCTCGAAAGTTTCACTTCACATTATTTGATTAACAGGTAAAATAGCGGGACTTTAAGGGATAGATGATATAAACCAAATTAATGGATGATAATGCAGTCGCTTAGGCCTTTCTCTTGTCTATCCTACGCGACTCATTGTTACGAATTGTAAGCCTAAGGAAGTCTTTGGGACAATTTAGTGTTTAAAATCTACAATTCGTGATGTGATCGCTGAGCGTCTTGGCTCGTAGCGTATCTGGATACATTCTGGATGCCCTGTACCATTGCCTAATCAAAACTAGGCAGATGAAATGTCGGCAATCTGTACAATTTCTTCGTGTTAATGAGTAAAATGTTTTAGTTGAGCTTAAATTATTCCACACTTAAGCGCATCATAACTTCCTTTCCATTTCTTGTCTTCGCGAAACGGGCCAAATTCATTCATACCATCCGCAAATTCAAAGGTAAAGTATAGCAAGAATTTTATATACCTTGCCTGAGCTCCTCCGATTTTGACTAGATATGAAAATATTTTTTTCGCGAGAAAGAAACTTTATTTCGTAAGCTATACTAAGAGATATTTCATTTATGACAATGTACGAATTTCGCCTGGAAAGGACAACTAGAATGATGAGACTATTTACCTACAAAAGGATTTATTTTGTGTGTGTGTGTGTGTATCGGCATAGCAATGGAAAGTCTGCTTAAACAGTTAATCAATGAAATCACTGGCAATTAGAAGGAGCAATGTCGAGAGATCACAGCTCGGAGGACAGTACCTTCCAGTTCAGTCCTTGGGCGAATGTTGTCATATACCTACGAATGCCATTATGCTAAAAAATGTTGATATCATGACCTTGGATGGATTTTTATCGCCAAGTTTTTCGATTCATGCACCGTGTTGTTTTACTCTTCGGACATTGTAGAGTGTCCATTTTCGTCACTCGTGGCGACTCAGAGACGCTGTCCTTCAAATTAACTAGGAAGCCTTACGCTTTCCTATTTCGGATTTTCTTTTGTTTTTTGGGTAAAATCGACTCCAAAATTATTTGGTGACATGGAGAGATTATAGTTTGACAATTGTTTACTTACGACTGTAAATGGGCAATTAATGTAGTCATTAACTTCCGGGACAACCACATAGGCAGCTGTTAAAATTTTATATACGAGCACAACGCTTTTAGTGACGAACCTCACGAAACAGTTCTTTTGCTGGACAAAGGCGACAAAGCCAAAGTCAGCGTTGCTTTTAAAAGTTACATAGGCTAGCTATTTTCTGCTGAATGCATTAGAGACTCAAAAAAAAAAAAAAAAAAAACGGTTATGGCAACAAAACGTATAAGAGTTTTGAAGATTTTTCCCAATAATCAAAAAAGAAAATTTCGAGGAGTGACAAAGACCCTAAAGATGTCATCAAGGAGCATACTCACTACTCACGTATAAAAATTTGGCATTATTTTGATTCGACTAACCGAATCAGAGAAGGAGTGTAAATCATAATAGGATTCGTGTTTTTACAAGCAACGTAGAAAGCCTTAAATAGTGAATTGTCAAAGTGGTAGAATGATACGTTAATTTGGATATAGTGTCTCGATGCTCGTTCTCGAGTATTAATTAATTAATTTTATTAAGTCAAAAAAGGCGTCGAGGTTACTCCATTAACCGACTTAACAATAAAGACGATCCCAAGTGCATGTCTCTCTCCGCTTAGAAAGAGATGAAAAATTAAAAAATTTCATGTGCTTAACTCATGCAGCAGATTATCATTGGGGTCTCATCCCCCTCCTTGTAAGACAAGCAGAAGAAATTGTTTTTGGTCTAATTCTGTTTTATGTATATATCACATTCAATACTGGGATACTACACTGTTCACTCGACAAACTGCGATAAACTGTCAATAAGTTTTTCCCAGCACCGTAGGCCTAGGTAAGTTTTTAGTAAGGTAAGGTATGATAACTTCACGCAACCCGGCCGATATATCCCAGATTAAATATGTCCATTAAAATCAAAAAATCTTTCCTTTAGTATGGATGCGTTATCTGAATGGGTTAGGAAATACTTTCGCACTGATGATGTCGGTAAATATTTGAGTTTCGGTAAATATTAGAGCGATATCTGCAACGCTTCGACAGCTAGGCACAGAAACATTTTAGAGATTTGGTTATTTAGGGAACTTTCCGGGCTTTTTACTGTCGTCCACTTGGTCATAAGTCGATCGCAACTTTTCATGAAATTATGTTAAGAAGAATTTGTATTTAGAGGCATAAAAATTTACATGAAACTTAAATCATCGATTAATAATAAATATGAAAAGAGAGAGTATGTGATCCATATGTTTTCAACTATATTATATCCCAATATGATAAGTGGAAATTTTCGCAATAAAGTATGTTACGCTTTTGATTATTATTTAATATGAATAAATAATTGTTTATTTAGCCTTAAGTTATATTATATTTTAGGATGTTAATTAGTTCTCCTAATCGAGAAATGTCAAGTCATGCTCGCATTATTATCATTGTTATTATTATTATTGTTATTCATTAATTTTATTATTTAGTGTACATGTCAACAATTTATTTATTGTAATACCGGTTTTATTAAATTTAAAATAAAAAAAAAAAAAAATTTAATTTTTTATTTTTTGCTTTTACCAAATTAAAAAGTTCTATTGTGATTTCAAATAATGAAAACTTGTTCTTAATTAATAAAAATAGAAACAATGAAGAAGAACTGAATGCATAGGCAAGAAGAGGTATGCACTAAGCTTAAAGGCAAGAAATCGAAAACTCAATAAAATCCCAAATAAAGTTTAAGTATAAAAGCAGAAGCAATTATAAGAAATAGAAGTGTGATGACTTCAGTTCTTTAAAGTTCAAACATATTTGAAAATTTGAAATCCATAAACATTTAACTGAAAATGAAAGTAAATAAAAAATGTTTTTTAGTGTTTTTTGATTTGGAAGTGTATCTTTTATAAATTTTTATCTTCAAACTTAAGGTATTTACGAGCTTATTGGCCTTAGCTACCCTTTGGGCTTCAGTGAACGCAAGCTTTATTGGTGGTAGTTATGGAGGCGGCCATGGTGGCGGCTATGGTGGCGGCTATGGTGGTGGCTACGGTGGTGGCTACGGCGGCGGCTATGGTCACGGAGGTGGCTATGGACATGGCAGTGTTAAGGTTGTCAAAGTTATAGGTCACAGCGGCGGTCATGGAGGTGGCTATGGCGGCGGTTATGGTGGAGGTTACGGTGGCGGCTATGGTGGTGGCTACGGTGGCGGTTATGGTGGCGGTCATGGTGGCGGCTATGGAGGCGGTCACGGTCATCATGTTCAGGTGTTCAAAGTCCAAAGTCTAGGCAGCTACCACGGCCATGGCGGCGGTTATGGCGGTGGTTATGGCGGCGGCTATGGCGGTGGCTACGGTGGTGGTTATGGTCATGGCCATGGTGGCAGTTATGGCGGTAGCTATGGACATGGTGGTCACGTCCAAGTTGTTAAGGTACTTTCTGGCGGACACGGACATGGATGGTAGTTATTTTGTTATTCATTTCATATAAATAAACTAACTGTATATACTAAGAGAATAACTTTTTCATTTTATTGCTACTCATTTAAGTTTTTGCTTCAAATTCAATTTAAAAACAAATTTTATAAGCGAGAACTTGAAACAAACTTTTTAAAATTCTACAGTATTCTTACCGCGAATAATGACGGTATCCATTGATTGATTGGAACCATATTTATGCTTATTTTGTCGATGATTTTATTACATATTTATCTCAAATTTAGAAAAAACCTTGCAGTGCCTGTCGAACATAATATGAAATTTGCAGCTTAAAGCCAAATTTCAGTCTAATATCTTAACAAATGCAAACTGGGTACTCTAAACTGGGATATAACTAAATCAAATTCGGTTTTTACGCAGACCAATATATATATTATATATATTTTCTGAGGTCTCTGATATGTGTTCCTGGGAGTCGAATAAATCTAATGCAGTGATATTTCCTAGCTATGCTTAATGTAAAAATCAATATATTCCAAGCAACATTTACTGCAATCGCTGCTCTGCTTCAGACAATCTGATATATAATGTGAATACTCGAAGTCGGTCATTCATCAAGCTTTGACAAATTTTGCGCATATTATTATGCTTGTGGGGAAACTCTTTGTATTAAAAAGCATTGAAAAGTAATGCGTTCACTTGATTTTTATCGTGTATTTGCCATGTATGAGACATCATTCATCAGTAATGTAAACGTCAAACTCTAATAGATGACTATGTAGCAACCTCTTGACGAAGATTTTCTTATTTCCCGAAGAAAATTATTAAAAGTTCGGCTTCTGGTTTATTTTGCACAAAGTCAATTACATATTTTCCAGTCGATTGGCTAACATACATCATTAAGTCAAATGATAGCGGACTTACAACACACTTACTTACTTACACTCACTTAGAGCATATTAGTTGCATTATTTTCAACGGATTTTGTTTTCCTACTCCTTTAAATATTGAATTTTTAAAATCATTCCTTTAATTGTAATTTTGCTGTTATCGATCTTCAACGCCTACAAGTAATAAAAACATTGACTGTTCAATGATTGTTACATAAATCTTGAAGGTTTGCTTAGGAACTGAACGTATCTTTCAAATCCGCTTCCGCTATAGTAAATATGTATGCATATATGTACGAAAACAAAAAGCGAACTACCTCGCACTGAACGTGTTTGTTATTTCCTGCCAATCTATTACTTCTGGTGTTTCTTAGGGTTAGCCATTTTTTCTTTACATTCTTTGTAAATAACTTTCCTGAGTCCATTCAACATTCCCGTGTATTAATGCTTGACGTACTCTTTCACTTTACTTTGACACAATGTAAGATGATAAGCTCTTCAGCTTGATCTTGTTAACCTGCATGCATGATATGTAACTAATAGAATGTGTGTATAATAACTTAACAAAAATGTAAGAAGTTGTCATTTGCTGGCCCCTTCTTATCGTATTGATAATTACATCCTGGAAATTGCGTCATACTATTACTATAAATATTTAAGTGTTGTTTTCGGCTTAAAACTCGCATTGAGGTTTCAAAATATAGGCAAAATATAGCGTTTATAGCTGAATGCAGCGCTGCACTTAGCTAAATGCTGCACCTAGCTGAATGCAGTGCTGCACTTCTTCTTTAAGAAATATGTGATCTCAGCATCATTTAAAATGCATGGCGATGTTATTCTCCCACAAAGGGAATTTTCCTTTCTACAGAAAGAAAATATTTCTTACATTTCACTTCTCTTATATTTAGTGAGATGACTACAGTTGTATAGAAAGTGAATTTTCTCGCCTTTAAAACTAAGAAAAGACCGTTCATTAGCTTTTATTAACCAATTAATGATTTTGTGTTCATTATGGCTTGATCGCACGCGATGGTTCTACATCGAATCTAATACTAATTACTCTTGTGACTGCGTTCAATTTAAAGGACTCAACTTTTGAGATATTTTGATGAAATTTGTGACAACAACAGGTTTTGGCCCAAGGATGAATGGTGGAACGATTTTCGACCAATTCCCACGTAACGCCTCATATTAAAGGACGGTGTAGGTTGTTTTATGACGGTTCGTGGCCCAGCATAGTCCTTTTGCTTGTTTAAATTAACTCTATTTGCCTTTTATGTTTTTCATACATTTCTTGATGCGCTTTTGCGCATTTTGTTTTATTTAATTTGTTAAAAAGCTACGGCACTTTTAAATTGGGGTTGTCTTTGCGATTGTTGTCCACGTTAAAGACAATTTTGAATCTTCAAGCTTATCTAAGACATTGGTAAATAGTAGACAAAATGCACATCCACACAGCATTTATTGTTTAAGAGTTTATTATGTTAATCAGACTTGTACGAAAAAAGAAAAGAAAAACAACAACAAATCCATTACACAATCACATTTATATGGAAATGTTAAGCAACCTGCGTTTTCTTGCGCGGTCTTAATTGTATTCCATTGTCTCAAAGACACCATTATCGCCAGTCAAATTCTATATGATATTCGAATTAAATCTAGCTTGGTGTTATTGGTAAAAAAAAAAAGAAATGAAATTTTCCTTTTTTCGTTAATATTAACAACAAGTTCGTTAATACGTAAAAGAAAACGGTAAGCCATAAAACGGTTAAAGGAAAAGGTTATTTTCTGTCCATCCTATCACACTAGACTTGCACAGGAGCTCAGTTTCAGAAATACTATATAGAACATCGCAACGGTTTCAATGTCCGCCTGATTCGAGTCGAACTTCCTTTATTCGAATGCATCAGGAATTTTCCAACATATATTTAAAAAAAAAACGACAATAATAATAGCGGAAGTAACGCTTTCAACTTATTACTTTTCAGTAAATGATACTCTTAGTCAGAAAATATAAATTGAAAAGATATTAAACTTATGTCGAATTCTAATCCAAAATAATTTCGAATAATTGTTAATAGTATTCACAAACGCGAAGATGATGAGATTCGAATTGAATTCTTACACACCTCTAATACTTGTTCAAGTAAAATTCTGCGATGGGGCTATATTTTAGCAGAATATATTTATTAGAATTTTTAATACGGAAGATTTATTCGCTTCCAATAGGGAAGACGTTGAATCAAATTAAATTAAAAATTGTTTCACCACCAGCCCCCGCCACTTCCAGTGTGACCATAACTACCTCCGCCGTAGCCGAGGCCACCACCTGACGTGCCGCCAGCTCCACCGGTAGAAATTACTTTAATAATTTTGACAACGCCGCTGCCGCCAAAGCCACCGCCTCCACCGCCATAACCACCGCCCCCACCGTAACCCCCACCGCCGTAACCGCCACCACCGTAACCACCGCCGCCGCCTCCAACATAACTACCGCCACTACCACCACCTTGAGATATTACTTTAATAATTTTTATGTTGCCTCCGGTACCGAAGCCACCTCCGCCACTGCTGTAGCCCCCGCCGCCACTATAATAACTGCCACCGCCATAACCGCCTCCACCGAATCCGCCACCGAATCCTGCGCCGCCGCCGCCGATGCCGCCTCCTTTCGAAATAACTTTATACACATTAACAGAGGTACCGAAACCTCCGCCACTACCGCCATACCCAGCACCGTAACCCCCACCACCAGCATAACCCGCCTTAGCTACCGCACATATCGCCATTAAACATACAAAGAACTGTTAGAGAGAAGACAGAAAAAGGCTCTTGAGATATTTCTTTTAATCCATTGCTTCGTTAATTCGAAATTACTTTTCACTTTGACAACACACACACCTTCATTTTTGATTTTTCTGAATTTAATCCGCAAATTCGTTGTTCAAATCACTTGAAGGTTTAACAAAGTATGAGCTTACGTGGAGATGTGTTTGATGATTTTTATATTTATATATTTGTAAGAAAAGAGGAAAACTTTTATGAAAAATTACAAAATTCGCGTAAAAAACCTTCAAAATGAAGAAAAGAAAAACTATTGCATAAAGAAATTATGAGATGAACATTAAAAACAAATCAACGGAAGCAAACTTTTTAACTTTGTTTTGGTAAAACTTTAAACCCAGTTACCTACTGCTGATGATCTTCATTGCCGCTTACACATGTCATTCGGCCTAAGGCATCTATCTATACGTTTCGCTCGCCGTCTCCTGATGTGTTCGTTACGAGGTCATTATGAAGTACAAAGTAATAAAAAATGTTTGATGTTTTTTTGTCTTTATTTCATTATGCAATCATGTTTGAATTTAATGAACACTTATTAAAGTGAAAATAAGTTAAAACAAGCAGGAAAATTAAATGCGCCACCTAGAGAGAGAAAGAGCGAATCTTGATTACCCACCATCATCTCATTTAAATTTATGATACTCATCGATATTCTTTCTCTCTTAATTGTAGGCGTTAACAATGATATATTGATTTTTTCTTTTTTTTTTTTTTTGTTAATACACACTTCCTCTATGAAATCCTATTAACACTATATAGCGTGTACACATGTACTCAAAGTTCGAAGTTGCAAATTAAGCATATAATTTAGCAGACGATTGGACGGAACGGATTTTTATAAACAAATTCTGAATTTCGAGTTTTGTAATTTTTACAATTACAAGCCAAGATGAACGGACGTAGGGACGATGATAGTCATATTGTATTTTTGCATGTTGCAAAGATAATTGTAAAACTGATATACTTCCATCCATCGATGTTGAGTGCGATATGATGGACATCATGAATAAATTTTTCCCAACATTTCACTAAATTTAGTTAATAACGTGACTGTCCGCTAAATGTTTTGTTGAATATATGTATAAATTTTATTGTCCTCCGTTTTTATATAAATTCGTCTATTTATGCTTTAATAGCTGCTACCCGCCGAGATTTTTTAAGATTCCTTGCGTAATGTTCATTTTAGCTCTCCTAGTCTTCCCTAGACAGAAGGGAAAGTTCTCTGTAAAATGTCCCTTATTGAGACCACAACTCAGGTTATAATTTACTATGTGAACAACAGACATTTAGTGTATAATTACGGTGGTGATGTTACACAATCGTTACAATTGACTATGAAAACGGTGTGGCTGCTTCGTCGTTTATTTGCTTATTACCTTCAAGTTGCTCAAGATCGTGTAGTTCGCACTCAATGACTGCATCAACTTCGTCTTTGGCAAGGCATATATTTTGGTCAGTCATTGTAAAGGTTTTGAGCTTTTTCTAAAAAAACTTTGCATTTATTTGTAGAAAATTTGAAGAAAAAAATTTATTTTACCATTTTTCACTTCACGAAGAACACGTCAGTTAGAAATGGCTAAAAGGGCTTGTGCTTGCGAAAAGCAATGAGCTCGAAGATTTGAAAATTCCTTACTGGAAAGCCTAGCAAGCCTTCAATTGTGAGTACAACTTTCTTTTCTTTCTTTCTGAAGAATCAAAATGAAAATCTGAAGGAAAGAGAGAGAGAGATAGAGGAAATTCAAACTTTTTAGGAATTATTGATGCGATTTTTTATCTTCTTAATCAAAATCATATCGATGCGGGACGTGTGGGTGGCTATAACATAGTAGTTCGTGAATGTAATACGTATATACATATAAATCGATGCATATATGTATGTTAGTTTGTAGTTACAACATGCTTATCGTGCTTCTTTTATATTATTCATTAAATATATCATTACGTTATAAAAAAGAAAAAGGCGTATTTTTTCATAATGCTTCAAGTGCGCGGATGGTCTTTTTGCCCTAAACCACTTATAGGACACGATGTATTAAATTTGCGTTGACGTATGTAACACGCAAAAGCGCTTAAGATAGACCAAACTTTTATTATACCGATCGATTGAGAAAATTATTGTGAATCAATCTAAGCCTGTCTGTCCGTCGGTTCGCCTGATGACAGTCCATGTAAATTTGCGTTCAAACTACAGTTTGCAACTTTTCAGATATTTTGATGAAATTTAGTACATTGACGTGTTTTAACCTAATCATTAACGCTATTAAATATGGTTTGGATCGGTCCGCTTTTTCGACCACTTTCCATATGAGTCCCTATTTTGAAAAGTCTCTATTTATAGAAAAAATTGCAATTTTGAAAATATCTCAGCAAATGTGTCTAAATTGATATGAAAACTTTCTTAAGTTCTTTATGAATTGTAAGCATACGCTAAGATGGCCGTTCTAAGCTCTCGTTTTATAAGGGAATGGTTATTTTTCATACTCAAATAAATATCTATATTGATTCCATTATAGATGTGAGCAGATTACATTTGTTTTCAAAGTTTTTCTTCTGCCAAATATATGGAGAATATTCATGAGAGATGATTGTGTGATTTATCTTGATTTTTGGCACTGTCACTGTCAAGGGCTTGCAAATTGAAAAGGGATACAAGCGTACAACAAAAAATTACTAAAATCTAGTATATATATATCTGATGGGGTACCCGAACCCAAGCGTTCCAAAAGGTATTACAAAATGAATGTCGAAATTAGTTAAATCCCGCTATTATGATTTTATTAGAACCGAGATCAGGATATTCGCTCTTCAACAGGCGGCGAGAAACGGTTTTCATAACTGTACGCAAGAAGTAATTTGAATAGAAATCACAGATTTGTAAATAAAAATTACAAACGTTTTATTGATTCATAAAGTATTACTGAGTAGAGCTATATAGGACACAGCATATCAGGCAGGAAACTTAAGACGCCTTACGACGCTGGCACATACGTGCTCTATATTTTGCTGGCTAAGAGTTGGGTCAGTTTAAGCAATGTGTTGGGAAGTACTTTTATTATATTCCGGATAAATACATACATGTGTCCATATATGTACGCATACATAACAAATTCCTTATTTTTCAACCAAAGTTTTTAGATTAATATCGCATATGGGCTGGAATTGACGGTTTTTTGCCTATTTTGCGTTCAGATGAGTTCCGTTTCCACTCAGCAACAATCTCGGTTTGTGCTTATGCATTGAGAATATTCGCAATAGTTAGCGAAGCAGACTCATTCCAGAATCTTGCCCCGATCATTATCATATCATTTATTTTGTGCGATAACTAATGAATAAATATCCGGATAATTACAAGAAAACGAAAATCTAATTAAATTCGAACTCTTGGCTGCCGACTACAAGTATTACTCAATATATTTTATACATAAAAAGAATGAATGATTATTTTTTTTATTTTTTATTTTTCACATGTTTTTTATGACTATTTAATCATAAAAAAAAGAAAAAAAAATAAATAAAGAAAAGGAGGCTAAAGGTAAATTTATACATATATGCATGTGCAAGTTGTAAGAAAGATTTCGCTCTTCACTATCCACCGAAACTGCCACTAGAGGCACTCGCTGTAGCCCAAGAACCACCTCCACCCCCGCCGCAAGTATTACAGGTGCCACCAGGATGACCTTGCTGTACTGGCACTGGCCGTACAGGCACCTGTTGCACTGGTACTTGCTGAACTGGCCTTGGTTGAACAGGAATTATTAAAACACCACTGCCACTACTGCATCTTGGACAACCGCCGCCACCGCCACCACCGCCGCCTTTCTTTTTGAATAGTGTAGGCACTGCTGTGACTACACCTACAAATAACAATAAAGCCAATAATTTTTTCATATTTATATATACAAAAGTAAATCCGCTCGTAGACTCGTAGATCGCACTCAATCAATCAAAGCTTTTCTTGGTGCATTTACCAGCAAAGATCCGTTACAACTAATCCTATTAAATATTGTAGCCTTCAAATTTATATTCCCAGACCGAAATAAAACACAGAAAAAAAATACAAAAACAAAAATATGTACATTTTTTCTCGGTACTTTTTTCAATTATTATACTTTAGTCATTAAGTTAAGTTGACGGTCTTCATTACAAGTTTATCACACAATCGATTCAATTTGTTATTCATAAACTTTCCAGCGTTTGCTGTGTCGGTCAATTGATTAAGCGCTTTTTGTAACGTCGTTAACCCTTATTACCCTATAGTTTCTATTATCTTCTAAAGAAAAGCGATTTAAAAATTTAAGCTAACTTTACCTGATTTCCGTTGCAACTTATTGCATAAGCAATCGTGCGCCTGATGTCTGGCCGATTATTTCATTTGCCATATACATCTAATTACTATTAATATAATTAAGTATATTTACTTGCAGTGCAGTTTATGGGGAAAGTACACATTCATACAAATATCAATTATCTGTACAGCTCATCTTTTGTTTTTAGCTTTGACTTTGTTTGTCTTTCAAATCAAAAGCAACCATAAGCCCCCCAGCCATAATTTGCTAATTTCGTCATTCAAGAGTTTACACAATCTCGTTTCAAGTAATTTTACACTTGGCAAAAAATTGTCCTCATACCTTGCTTAAAAAGAGAAAAATATAGGGTCTCGCCATTCAAACGGCCCTAGTTTGGTTTAGCTTCGTTACGATTATATCTTGAAATTTGTTTTTTACTACATAAATTTTGTTTTTTTTTAATTCAAAATCGGAAAAAATTCCAATTCCAGTAATCGATACACCTCGTGATGCTAACGAGTTAGTAAAACATAGAAATGCATGTAACGTAAGGAGTGCTCCAGATTGTTTATAGCAGGAAATTTATTATGATTTGAACTGATCAATTACAAAAGGACTTTAAAAATTCATTTTCTTCGGGGGCAATTTATGAACCGGCCAAAATTTATTTCGAGACGGGGCCTTTTCCTAAAGACCATTCAATCATCATCCATATACCTGATCTAATCTTGTCTTTGGGCTATCCATTCCAAATTCCATTCAATATCATTGCACATACGGTCCTGAAAGGCATTGCGGACATGGAATGCAGTCTGCTTCAAATGGTTGATCAAAAACTGAAGAGAAATTTTAAATTTTCCGCTTAGCAATGGGAGTAGTAAACGTGACGAATTGCTGGCATTTCCAATCTTAAGCTTGAGAGAAAAAGAACCACTTTAACATAGATCGTGTTATCCGATTTTTGCTAATATTTTGAATAAGTGGTCAGCGATAGAGAGATTTCCAAGATGGCCAATGCAAAATTTTCCAAGAGTTGTAGCGGTTGTGATGTCGAATTCAAAATATTATCCTTTCTGGATTTTCCGTATTTCCCCAGCTTGAAATATACGATGCAAATGTCAGGATGAGCTCGAGAAGACATCCAAAGTGCCAGCGTTTCTCAAAATAGAGATTGAGTTTTGAAGAGTGAAGTCATTTTTATTCATTATGCGTAGACGTGAAGCGTGACTGTTCATGCTCGTGATATCGTCATTCCATCCTTTTCTTCTCTAGAAAGTCTCAATGACCGGGGCCTCGGGTCACGGCAAATTGTAAAGTTCTAATACGTTTGCAATATGATTTCACCAAAGCACTTGGATACACTGTCACAGCCAGCCAAAAAGTCTATTTATTGCTATTATAAAAGGCGAAATTCAATCCGCTGCATTTCCAACAAAACAGTTCTAGTAAAGTCTTAGCAATCTGATAACAAATTAACTTTGCTTAAAGGATCTTGAATTTCTTAACAATTTTGCTGGAGTAATTTTCATAGCGACAGCGAACATATTGGGGGTCTCCCTTTCGTTTTTGTTTTCAATTGATTGCGAGAAAGATGAGCAACTTTTCGTTACTTTAGGTAAAATTCTGGAGGACACTGCAAAAAAGGAACAAAAGTTAACTGTAGGCCAAGTCGTTCTACAAAAATCATTCCTTTTCGGGTCAAATATGTGTTTTTGAAGGACTTTGATGCCTTTTTGTTCCAAATTTTAATCATCTACGACTAAAACATTCATAAAAGAAGACGCATTGAAATGCTCCTGTCTGATTCTATTCAGGCATTTGAGTTTAGTATGATCTCAGGATAATGCTTTTCTCGTTGTCTTCAAAGCGAGCCAAAATTATTCAGTTTTATACAGGAGTTTCTAACCAAAAGCTTGATTAATAACGTCACCCAAGCAGCGTCGGCCGAATATTTTCTCCCTTGTCCTTGAACGAACTCAAATTTCCTGTGAGCTGATTCTCTACAGGGTAGGGAATCCCTAAAGTGATGTTGGCAAGAAAAGAATCTTTTAATAGTGCTTCAATGATTGATTGAAGTCACTAAGCTTAAGGGCATTGGTACCTTATAAAATTATATAGAATTGGGAGGCAAAATCAATAAAAATTCGTATTGCGTTAGAAACGCTGTGAACCTTCTAAAGTAGGTTCAAATAAAACCTATTATTCACATGTTTGTCTGCAACACATTTGAAGACATTGCACTTTTTTTTCCCCTTTTTTGAACGATTTTTTACAACCGCCCATAAGCGAATTGGTGAAATTTTCAACGCAGCATAGCTTTCTGAATCGATCTAAGCCTGTCTGTCCGTCTGATGTCTGCCCATGTAATTTTGTATTTAGCCTACGGGTCGCAATTTTTGAGATAGTTCCATGAAATTTGATACACTGACGTGTTTTGACCCAACGATGAATGCGATTGAAAACCTTCATGGGTCAATTCATTCTTCTTCGACCCTCCGAGATAACGCTCTATCTTCAAAAGTCGTTATATGAGAAAAAAATTGCAAATTTTCAAAATTTCTCGGCAAAACTCGCTCTATAATATTATTTGGATATTCCAAGTAAGTAAGAAAAATGTGGTGCGGCAGGCCCCATACCATCGTCCTCTATAACCGTTCCAATGAAAACTGAATCTTTATACGGTAAGAAGTGAAAATATTATAGTCGGGATAGTCCGACTTTTAAATACCCTGTGGATCTGTATATTGAAAAATAGAACTCTTTGGAAATAAAGGCTTACCTTCCGTAAGAATAGTTGTGACCGAGGGGTACAAAAATTAAGGTACATATTCCAAATTCAGCGCATGGATCAATTTGCATCACAAGATACTAAAACTTAGACTTTTCTTATTTTCTTTATTTGTACATTAGCGATCCTCAAGTTTAAACCTCTCCATTATTGCAAGGCCATCTTGCCGCCGCATCTTCCACCACTAATCTTAAACATTATATATATTTATCTATTACAATAGTTAATTTGATTTATTTTCAATTACTATTAAGATCTGATTTTTATCATGTGAACTTTAGTGTTGGTTATATGAGAGGAGTTCAAAACATGGCGAAATACTATTATTTAGACCCTTTTGTCGAGAATTTTTCCCATATAACGACTTGTGAAAATAGGGCGTTACATGGGGAGTGTGAAAAAAGTGGTCTGTTTGAAGTAATGTTCCTCCTTGGATGAAAGCACGTCAGTGTAACAAATTTCATCAAAATATATCAAAAATTTGCGACATATAGCTTGAACACAAATTTAGATGAGCATTCATGACACGGACAGACAGGCTTAGACCAGAATCATTTTCTGAATCGATCTGTATGATAAATAGTGGGTCTATTTTAAGACATTCTGTACGACCACACAAACTTAATATACCCTGTAGCACAAGTGGTGTCGGGTATAGAAAAGAGAAAAAAATATCTCCTCCTTATGGGCTTCGCAATGGTTTCTTCCGTTAAGAGCTTTACCAATATTTCTTATTTTACGGAGCAAATTTATAGTTCCTCCAAAAGCGTGTTGCACGCTTTTCCTATTAATGCAGCACAAAATACTGATTCGGAAAAAAAGCTTATGCTTCTTCTTTAAAATGCATCAAAATTATTTGCTTAAGAATTACTTTAACAGAAACACAATTTTTATAGAAACCTGGGAATCAATTATTATTATGGAGCTTTATAAAAGACAGATTCGATATACATTTTCGCTTGGTGTTCCAAAGGTTTTTTTTTCCTTGTAGTGATTATTGTGTTATATATGAACATCTTTCCCACACTGATCCAAGCATTGATGTACGGTCACAAGTCTCTTCACTCATGATATGACAACATCACGACATAAATAATATTACACTACGCTTTATGTTAATATTTAATGAAAATTATTTAAACTGATAGCATAAGCCGATTGGCTCATTTTGGTGTGATCACTTCGCAGACGAGAAGTAAAATTACTCATGAAGGTAAACCAAAATAGTTCCAATTATTGGCAGTTTGTTTTATTTGGCCGTTCTTTACATTAGCGCCTCTCACATTAAAAAACATGCAGTACCTTGTTCTTTATAACGGATATCTTTAGGAAATGGTGGAGTAAAACTACTTTTAGTCTCTTCTTTTATACATTTTGTCCACAAATTCTCAAAACAAAAACAATGTTTTTTTATTTTTTTTTAAGAAATCTTGTATTACGAGAATTGAGAAAAAAATTTTTCTCTAGTCTTTGTTTATGTTCTACGAACTTTTGAAAATTTATTATTATATGAACAACATTAATATTGAAATTAAAAAGAAAATACGTTATTAGATAGATTACGCAGTGAGAATGCAGTTTTTATTTTTCACATGTTATTATCGACCAAAACTGCCACTAGATGCGCTGGCAGTGGCCCAGGACCCGCCGCCGCCGCCGCCACAAGTACTGCATCCGCCACCACCCTGGCCACCACCACCATGACCACCCAGATTGCCTCCCCCATAGCCGCCATAGCCGCCACCACCATCTTGACCAACACCTCCGTAACCACCTTGACCTCCGCCGCCGTAACCGCCATGACCACCGCCACCATAACCGCCCTGCCCAACGCCACCATAACCGCCCTGGCTACCACCGCCGTAGCCACTTAAACTACCGCCACCATAACCGCCAAAACTACCTCCACCGTAGCCACCTAAGCCGCTACCACCACCGCCGCCGCCATAACCTCCGTGACCACCTCCACCGCCATAACCTCCATGACCCCCATAACCACCCGTACTAACGGGTACTTGCTGAACTGTGTAAACCGGAATTTGTTTAACAGCATAGACATCATATCGTCCGCCTCCCCCTCCCCCTCCCCCTCCCGCTCCCCCACCGTAATTACCGTATCCGCCGCCACCGCAAGTATAGCAATTCCCGCCGCCACCGCCATAACCACCGAATAATTTATGCTTCAGTTTATGCAAAGTAGGCGTCACAGCGGTCGCAGTCACCAATATCAACAGTAATGCAGAAAATTTCTTCATTTTCTTCTCAATTAATTGAAAATTGAATTAACAAGTAAACCGGATATTAAATTTTATTCGAAATATCGTTTTTCGTTATGCGTTTCCCGCGAATCATATATTAGGACTAAAGTTATTCACAACTGAATTGTTTACATTTATACTTGGAAGAATTTCACCTCAACTATGTATATTTTATTCTAAACATGTACACATACATATATTTTTTGTGAAATTCCCAAAGTTCTAAATCAACGCTCTTTTCCTAAATTCCTCTCACTCAAAACTATGATTATTCAAAAAATACGAGTAAATGCTTTGGCTACTTAGCGCGGGTGGTATATTTTGAATTTTGTGATGTCATTGATTGTATTATTACAAGTCATCTTTTCGTTCGTTCGTTGACGGATATTTATTTGAACTGCCCTCCTTATACTATAAAAAAAGGGGAAAAAGAAAATAAGTTTATATTCATCCACAACGAATATTGGATACCCATCATCTCAAGCGGATAAAAAGCGTTCTATTCGTTGTAAATAATTCGAATAGTCGATCTAAACTTGATCTACACTAATGCGTAAAATTTCAACCGATCTATGCTATAGTAATCGATTAGAAGTCTTGGTGAATGGTGCTATTGTGAGCGTACCACACCTACCTACGAAATCAATTTCTTTCCATCCAATGACAAATGACGCAAATTAGGTATTTTTTGTTCAGTTTTGTGATTGCCTGGTTGTGGACAGGAATTAAGTCGGCTGTAAATCTCACGCTCATCAAGGATATACATATATACTTTAGCCGGTTATCTGATGAACTTGGAAGGTTTTAGATTTCGCGCGCGCAAAACGAATAAAAACATTAATCAATTAAAGAAAAAATTTTAAAAATATTAAAAATTTTTTTTTTGTTTTTTTTTTTTTTTTTTTTTTTTTGTTTATATTTTCATTTTACGAGTCTTCACCCGTTTCAATTGCTTGGGAAAGCCCATGTCATTATTGCTCACTTTTGTGTAACTTAATTATATTGTACTTATACCTGCCATTATAGAATACTATTAAAATATTTTTTCAATTAATTTATTATTCAGTAATAAAGACAAACAAATATTGACGCCTATGTACAATTTTTGTAATTAAAAATAAAAAAATAAAAAAACTTTCACATTTAATTGAAAGAGAGAGTAAATACCCTAAACCCTGTCGCATAGCATTAATTTTCCATTTAATGCAAATTTATGTTCTTATCAAGTTTTACACAGTCTCCTTAATAATCAAAAGCTTATTAATTGAGGAGACATTCCGGGATGATTGCATCCATGCAAAATAATATGTATTTTATGCGCCTTCCAACGAGCCTTTGAAAGGTCATAGCCAATGCTGCCATTATATGTGAAAAGGCATTGATCTGTTCTGATTGAAATATAACGCAGCCAGAGTGAGTCACTTATTAAGTAACACAGGAATCGAACATAATTGCGGACATAATGTAAGCCAAATGGATGTAAAGATTCTCATGAAAAAAAAAAACACTTTTGAATAGTGACGGATGCTTTCAAACATATCTAGAGGAATATGGGCACCGATTGTAAAAGACAGAAGAAGTACCCCGCGTTCGATTGTCGCACATCAAGGCATGCGAAGAATCATGAAAGAGATCTCATAAACACACGATGTAGAGTTGAGTGGAGCCTGAAAACTTAAGTAGTAAAGTGTTATAAAAATGCCTCGGAACAAGCGTCGAATGATTGCCTGGAAGAGCAGACAGCTTGAAGTTCATGTCTTGAGATTTTGTTTACTGTTTAAGTGCTAGTAAATCATGAATTGTGCATGCTACCAACACAGGTCGTCGGTATGCACGAAGATTTCAAACATATTGTTCATGTACTCGTAAGTTGAACAAAAAAAACAACATCATGAACTTTTACCTACCTAGTTACAACAGGTAGACCCGTACGCAGTCCCAAATTCTCTTATGAAATACTGAAAAAAATATTGTAGGGCGCAGCCAATACCGCTGTCGGCCAATATCGATTATCGGGGACTCATAGTTTTATCTATTTGCAATACCTTCCGTGCAACTGGGTTAATTCACTAGGTCAGGATTTTGAAGTGTTCCGCAATTCGAGTCAAGAAGAAGCTTAACGTCCAAGATAATGGCAAAGAAAGGATCAATTTTTGGGTGCGTTTTAGGAATCGGGACTAAGCTACAGTTTTTTACTGAACTAACTTTCTTTGCTGACTTTCAAAATTCTGAAAGCAGGCTTTAGATAAATGCCCGCTCTCATGCCCCATGATTGAATCGACTAAGAATCGCAAATTTGGAAAGAATTTCTAAAAAGGTAGAATTTTAAGATATTTGAAGAAAATTTCCGATAACGCTTTGCATATAAAAATTGCAATATGATCGTATAGTTGATTAGCAGAAAAATTATCAACAACGGAAAGCCTAACCTAAGATATTTAAGAATGATATGAAATGACGTTATCTCAGTATGATCACAAATTTTACGGGCTTACAAATGATATCACGAATTCAGTGAACGTTCCTTTCCTAACTGTAGGGCATAAAAAACTTGATTTATGCAAAATAATTTGATTTGAATGAGAAGCACAGAATATAAAGTTTGGTAAACTTGTCATTCATTTCGAAGTAGTTTATTAAACATAGTTGAAACCTCAACTACTATAAATACATACAAAAAATTTCGATGCACTCCCTTCTTTCCTCTCTCTCTCTCTCTCACTCTGTCTCTCTAAGTACTCGGACTATATCGTAATACATGCTGCGACCAAACTTGAGGCCTCCATCGTAAAGTTTAGTTGTTTTACTTGCACGCACACACACACACACACACACACACACACATATGCGTTTAAAGAGCCTTAAGTCTTTTTTACAGACACTTTATCTGTAAACTCTTATCGCTTCTAGAAGAGGGAATCAAATCGTTTATGGTTTCAATGTTTTTAAATTATATTTTTTATCAATTTGACTGAATAATGAGACAAGCAGGAAGCAAATCTAACACACCACTACCAATATATGTATATAAAAAACATTCACATAGATTTGGGGAATTCATAAGCAAATGAGTTGCGGTCGATTAATCTCAATAAATTAATTTATAATGTTAAATTTTTCGAAAAAATTAACAAAAATCACTTTTTTACATCAATTCGGTTTTCCATAGATTCATTTTATATATATATATATATATATAAAAGTAAAAAAATGTGATCTGTTCCCAGACGCTCTAAAAACAAAAAAATGAAAAATGAAAAATAAATAAAACTATGAACAAAAATGACTCATTAAAATTTTATACGAAACACGCGATTTGTTTGTAGAATGAATTTTTTTACGTGTCGAAATTATTAAAACAGTTCTTGTGTACGTATATAAAGCACTTTGCATGAACGCACTAATAAATAGAACACTAAGACGGTTTTTACGCTCCGCCGGGCCCGCCCCCCCTTCCCCAAAACCGTGGCGGGAAATTCCAAATTTTTAAAGCCGCCTTTTAGAAAATAAAAAAAAGTGATACGAGCTATGTCAGGCATTCTCATCTCGTAATGAAAACTTCCAATCAACGTAATTAGTTATGGGAAATAAATAGTTAAACAAAATAAGGATGAAACCGATCACTTCTAACAAAAGTGTTATCATAGGAAAATTCTTTTGCCATTTGACTAACATTCCTTAAGATCAACATAAGATCTTTGCATTATCCCATCGTTTAGTGTACTAGGTGCTTGATCAATTTTTCACTTCAATTGATACAAGATATATGAATCAAAATAGTTTCTATCATAGTCTACAACTTTTTTCCATCTTTCTGTGGCGTCGAAAGAACGATAGTAGTTTGGCAGCGATCCATTTTCACACTTCTTCAGCATTTCGAAACTGTGCCAGCGTGCTAGCCAAACTATGCTGCATCGATCGTTCCGAACAAGTGGTAATCAACAGGCGCGATGTACGGTGAATGCACTGGGTGCAGCCGAGCTTCCCCTTCGACCTGCAACAGTGTATCCTTGACAACTCTTGCAACGTGTAGCCTAGCGTTGTCATGCAAGAGCATGACAAGAGCAACATGAAAAAGTTGATTCATCAGGTGCTAAGCCGTTCGAAAGTTCTTTGAGAGTTTGAGGTGGGCTTTGGTTCAATACTTCTTGCAATTCATTGTCTTCGAGCTTTCTCGTTCCCTCCAGAGCTTTCTTCACTTCACTTGAACACCTTTGAAACCAAAATCGACAACTCAGATATGATAAAGCAGCATCACCCTAAGCTTCTGAAAGTCTTTGACGGGTTTCGGTAGCAAAATTCTTGAAATCAAAAAACAAAGATAATGAATGTGTAAAATGTAATTTTAAGCGTTCCATGACTAGCGTCCCATACACACTGCCTAACTCAATAATACTAAACGGAAAACTCTGTTATTTGATGTGTAGGGAGGTCAAAATCATCGAATTATTCTTCAGTTTTCGTCATAAAAAGCTAAAAATTAGACTTTCCCTCGGTATAAAGGGGTGCTTTTCACCATAGCTTCTATATATGTTGGGATCTAAAAAATATATGTCTATGCGATTTAAATCTTGGAACGATTTACTATTTGTGAAAAGTCTTGCATGGTGTGAGCAACAAGAAACATACCCATAAGATTCAAATCCGGTCCATTTAATTTCTCTATGCGGTGGTATCCAAAATATAGAACTAGGTTGTCCAAATTCAATAAGGTTTGATTTTTTTGTCAATTTACTATCGTGAAGCAACGTCTTAACCATATAAACATTGAGTTTTCGTAGAAACGGTTTTATGCAAGGGGGTTCAGAAAATTATCCCAGCCAAAGCAATTTTTTTATTTAGAATGTCGAAATACTATCACTCAACGACTTTTAGAAAATTGCATACGATTTTTCGAAACAGAGTCTTATATGGGAAGTGGTCGAGAAAAATAACTCGTACCAAATCGTTCTCAATAGCGTTCATCCCTGGGTCATATTAGGGCAAATGCATGAGCAGACCTCAGACAGACAAACGGACAAAAAGGCTTAGTATAAAAAGAGGTGGATCT